ATCAATTACTAACTTTATATACACTAGCTCACAATTAACAAAATAAAAATCACAAAAATCTACAATTGACAAAACAAAAATTACAAACAAAATTCTAAGTCAAAACAAACAACATCACCAAATATAATCAAAAATCATATAAAAAACTTTTTATTCTTTTTTTTACTAAATTTATTTACTTTTTCTCTTAACTTACTAACTTTTAACTTCATTATATTGTGTTGACAAATACAACACTATCACAACTAATACTAAAACTTGAGATTTTATAACAAATTGTTAACTTACATACTTAACTTAGAGTCTCTAGCTCAACACAAGAAAAAGCAATAAATAACCAATTTATATAAAATCAATAAAAACCAAAGAATACACTACAATACTTAATTTTGAATAAAGCAAAATAATACTACAGAGAAACCTCTCTAAATGCACCCTCTTGAGATATAGTGAAAAATTCTAAAAATGTACACTTAGAGAGGGTATACGTTTATAGAAAGAAAAATATATAGTGCAATTATAAGCTAAGACTAGATTATACTGTATATTTAAAAAGATTTTATATAAAGGGTGTATTTATAGAGGGTGTACTTAGAGAGGTTTTTCTGTATTACTTTATTAAATCCTCAACATCACATACAATCTATGAAAAACTTTGTTATAAAACCAAAAAATGCATATCAAATCTAATTTCTAATAAATTGCTATTAAATTAAATATTAAAGTTTAATAATCTACTCATTTTCACATTTAATACCAAGCTTATCAATTACATTCAAATCGTTTGAAATCACAACTCAAACGTAGAATTAACTTCCCTTAACAAACTAACCAGTATAAATATCAACAAAAAAAATTTGAATCTAATGTCGCTATCATGCTAAAAAAAAAAAATACCTAAAATACATAAAAATAAAAATAAAATAAAAAATAGAGTTTAAGAATTTCATGCATCTGCACGGTCATACATTCATAGACAGAAGTTCGTCTGATTGGTTGATTTTCTGTAGATTGACATAGATCGATTTTTTAATTTTACAAAATTTGATTGGTTGATCTGATTCACATATTTTTATATTATTTTATTACTTAAGTCATCGATGACTATATGATGTATATATGATATATAAAATTACTAGTAATAATTATTTCAAATAATTTTTTATTTTGCAAATTGAAAAAAATTACATGTATATACACTTATACAAAATTTTTAAAAAATAACTTAAAAAAACTATAATAGAAGAAATTTCCATATCGTATTGTCCCAAGATGCCGAAATGCCATCAGCAGATTCCTTATCATTATCATCATCTTTAGTAATAAAATCGGGATCTTCACTTTCAACATGAATATTCGAATCAAGTTGACTTAGGCTTTCTAAGAGCGATTAAACGTGTATATCAACCCCATCCTTAATATAACTTAAACAATGCAAACACTTAGATTCATTTTGGCTAAAACATTTATCGTGATACACATGACCACACGGCAATACCTGTCCTGTTTCTTCAGTAATAGTAGTATTAGTAAAAGAACAATTAGAAGAATCACAACCGTTCAAACTAGGCTTATGCGAAGAACTATATCCTAAGGATAGATGACAAAGCCATACCTCTTTCATTTTCATTGCTAGAATAGGAATACTGGGTTCAGTATTGACATTTTCTACTTTTTTCTTTTTTTTAACGGACGTTTCATGGCAACCTGTGGTGAAATTAAAAATGAAAGCTTTTCACGATTAATACGAGTATAAATATCAGAAAAATATTCGAGAAGAAAGCATGCAGTTTTTTGTGTCAAAGTTTTAATATTTTGAGAAGAATATTGGTAGACTACCTAGGATGTAGTGTAAACGAAGTTTTCCTTAAAGCCATCATCGTTAAATCGCAAGTAGTTAATATGCTATGCTTCTTTAATGATTTGTTTTGTAGTGGAATGTTTCTCCGTATGGCATCGTAAGAGACTATGAAATATTTCTACAGGTGTGTCAGAAAATTTTGGTAATTCAGCATTCATCGTCTCTAAAATCGGATGGTTATTTGATTGCCAATAAAACATATTTGAAAGAAACATTAGAGGCGCTTTAGTATAATTTTTACGGTGAAACCTATGGAAAATAACCCAAACCCAAAAACAAGATTCCAGATATGAATCAAAATCGCCAGCCCAAAAAAATAAAGCATAAAGGTCAAGAACTAATAGAATTGCGTTATTCAATAGATCTTTAAGCGTCAAGTATTCCGCATCTTTGCAAGTGGACCCGAACTTTATTTCGACCATTTTAGCGATCTTTTGCCAAGCACTACGCAAGAGTTCTAATAGTAAATTTATGCGCCATGGCTTTGGCTTTTGAAGAAGTTTTTTCTTTGGACCAAATATGTATCTGTATATTTCGGAAAAGAATAGATGGTACTAGAGAAGTATTAATTCTTGACTATTCAGCGAAATGTGCAAAGGACCTATCATTGGAAGGAATGATAGAATTTTGTTAGTGATTTCAGAAGAGCTACCGTGAACAAGATACCGTGATATAGCGGTTCTCAGGCATATTTGACCGGGCCAGTCGGCAACAACTGGGATGATATTGCCATTTTCCATATATCTATTAATTGTTGGGGCAGAAGAAGCGATATTGATAGCATTAATATAATCTTCTATTGAATGAAGGCCACTCTCCAACAGATC